TTCTGCGCCAGCCTTCAAAATAGTCAAGGAGAGAAGAGCAAGTTCAACAGAGCCTATTTCTGCAGAATCAAGATCTTTCTGAACAAGAAAAATGGTTATGGTTCTTCTGAGAATACTATACAAAGAAGTACAGTTGATTTTTAGCCCTGTTGTGTTAACTGTGAGTAGGAAAGATCTTCACATAAAATAACACTCACCTTTCTCTAACTTGTACTTTATTGCCTGGAACTTTCCAGCACAGAGCGCCCAGTATCAACACAGAAATGGGGAAGAAAGTATTTCCCTTCCACATCTGAAACAAGCTGAAGCCCAACTAGCTGACATTCCTGATAGATTTGCAATTTAGCTAATCAGTGACTCTTATTTGCAGGCTCTGTCCCCAATTTCTGAAGAGCAAATGACAGCTATCAAACCACATCAATTACAGGAACTGGTCTTGTTTTTACAACTCAACAGGTATTTGAATTTCATTATTATATCCTTGAGTCCCAGACAGAGAAAAATTTCCCAGAGACCTTTTTTTCTTCCCTTCACTGAAGTTTCATATATTATTGCTCTTAACAGCCCTTCTGGGATTAATACTGAATAGGTATGTAGTCTTTTGTAATTTTGTATTTTTGTCTTGGCTCTTGGGATGTTTAATGCATAACTCTTCTGGGGAAAGCAAAACAGGACTAGTACAGAAGAGGATGAATAGGATCTTTAGGAGATCAGAACAGAGCTGTAGACTACACAATAGTTTTGGATACCAAGGTCTCAACCTTGGCCCAGAGTAAGAAAGCTCATTCTGGGAGATAGTCCAAGCTTCCACAAATGATCTGCTCTTTCTATAGAAATTATAATTTCAGTAAAAGAACAAATATGCATACTCCTTTTATCAATTTAAAAGCATTTTCCTAGTTGAGAATCAAAAATACTTTTAAGATTTCCTGGTCACACTTCAGTGGAATCACAGCTAGAAAGCCCAAACTAGCCTTTAGGGAAAAGCAGCAGGTAAGCCCAAGAGGCAAAACACCTCCAGGAGCACTACCTCAGAATTACAGAATACCTCTCCTTGGTAGAGCGTTTTCTTTTCTTACAGGTAGGTAAGGATACATGGTCACTGTTAAACTTCTTCAACCCAAGACAGAAGCTAAGTGGCTTTTTCCTTTGAAAGTTAGTGCAGTCAGGTAATAGCAATCAGGAAGAAAATGGTCCTTACATCACAGCTCACTAATGACATATTGCTCACAAGACCTTCCACATAACCATGTTAGAACTTAAAACTTGAAATCAAAAGGGCCAAAGTATGACATCACCCCACAGTATGTCAACAGCCTCAGAACTACTGCCCTGAGGCCAGAGGCTGGGAGCACTACAGAGCATTTCACTTCTCAGGGTAGGAAGTTAGGCTTGTGTCACAGCAGATGTAGCAGCATGGATTTTGAGCAGAAAAAAAGGTTTATTCTGAACACCTACTTTTTGACTCCTTTGGTGGAAGATATTTCATTTAGTAAGTATTTGACTAGTTACTCCTCCAATAGTCTAAGACTCAATTCGCACTTAAAGAGTCTAATATCCAGATACCCTAGTCTTGTATGCAATAAATACCCTTTTCTTACAGGACTATCTTCTCCCTATGACAAGTCATAGGCACCATAGGCTGCCACATTCAGACAACCCTAAGAGGTTTAAGTGTTAAGAGGCATACCCTCAGAAATAGGGCAGGAACATCTAGAAGGATGTTTCTCCTCCTGCCATCTTATCAGGCAGTAGCACTGGTGGTCTTCAGTTCTTGATAATTTCAGATCCTTACAAGAACAAGAGAGGTCTCTCTCCAAATCTGTGGAACTCCTGGCAAGCCATCTTTCTTCATATTTGTAAGCTAAAAGCAACAGAACTTAAATTCAAGTACAGGTAAATGAAGACAAGCCAATTCTGGCAACTGTAACCATATTTCAAAAACATGTTTTCAACCCCCCACTGTTCCCCCCCCCCCCCCAGTTTTTTGGGGGCATTCTCAGCACTGTGATACCATTTATTATAAAATACTATTTTAAGATGTTCTGAAGATAACTCCTGTTCCTGCCGTTAAACTTATTTTATATTATGTGGTTTATAATCTGTAAAACAGGAAGAGGCGGGAGCATTAATTCCCACAAACCAAGCCTCTCTTTTTTTGCTTGCAACAGCAAATAGGTAGCTTAATAAAATTTTCAGGAACTACATAATCCAACTACTTTCAGCAAATGTTTACTCTAAGATACACTGGGGAATGAATAATTATATTCTGAACTGTTTAACTTGTGAAGTCCAAAGGACATTAAGAACTGCCACTCACTGTGTTTCAATATCGCACTTTTCTAATGGAGTGCAAGAAATTAAACTAAGATAGTGAAGCAATTTGCTTTATTTTCTGCTGCAGAAAATGACCTAACTACTAGACAGAGCTAACACACTTAAAGAGTTTAAGTCTCAAATGTTTCTTTTGGGTCTCTACTATCCGCAACATCCCTCATTCTGACTGAAAAAAACAAACAACTAAGGCTAGGGCAAATTATTTCCTATTTTGTCAAAGTAAGATGAAGTACACTCATTTAATGGTAGCTGTGTATTCTTCCTCTTCAATGATCTTAAGATGATTTAAAAATACAACCTTTATTTTTTTAATCAACTTACCAGTTTCAACAAAGTCTAAGCATTTCCTATTTAGTCTGTTCCATCTCTTCCTAGCTTCCTTCCACATATATAAAACAATGACTGGACTTTATTTTAGGACAGATTTTAATCATTCTTCACCTGCAACCATAAAGCTAGTACCATCATTGCTGGGACAATATTCCTTCAGTTACTGAGAACTTCAATAACCACCATTTTTTTTCCTTGCGATTGGTCTAGTGAGAAGGCTTAAGTGTAGCTCAGGGGTACTAAAGGGAAGAGCACCCATCAGTATTTCAGATTTTCACCTCCAACACAGCTCAAACAGTAAAGCTAGCCTAGCCCTGCGGCCTTAACTGGACTCCATTTACCACAGTTTTCATTAATGTGAGTTGAAAACGCCATTGGCTTCAAAGAGGAAAAAAAAAATCTTTTACTTTAGCCCCTTCCCAATCTCCCTGGCTCTGCAATTACTAAAATATGCACTACTTCATGTATTTTACAGCCCACATAACATTCAAATACAAATTAAAATCTCCTCAGGAAATTCCCAAGCAAACTGCTGGAAAGGCTCTCTATACTTCTCCTGTTCCTTATACTGGCCATCCTCAGACAGAATACTGAGCGAGGCAGACTTTGTCCCACTCAATACAGCCATTCTTCTGAGCATCAAACACCACTTTGTCCTCCAGAGCCTGCAGGAAGTTTGAAACAATGGCAGAGAAGTACTGTCTTCATAGCCCTGATAACTCAACTGGACTGTCAACTAAAAAGCCACATGATGTTTGAAAGAAAGTGGAATTAATCATTTTAATATTACTTTTCCAGTTTATATCCTCCAAGGGAAAACAGACAAGGGCAGACAAGCAAAAATGCTTGTAATACCAGTTCTAATAACAAAGTACTGCAAATATAAATCATTGGACACATTTATACAGCATACAAAGGCCTCCATCTATACTCTACTCACCTGAAATTACCATTTATATATTAAATTCATTCATACTCCAGATTATAACTCAAAACTTTGTCCTCTGAACTGTGAGAGGGGGTGTGCAGAAATACAGACCCAAAGTCAGGGTTAAATACTCTCCAATAAAGAGAATACCTTTCCTTGGGCAAAGTCTAACACTTTGCTCACTCTGCTGCGTCCATGTCTGACTGTCTTAAGGAGTCCCTCTCTCTACCAACTGTTACTTAATTTCAATGCCCATTTTTAATCAGTAAAATTCATACCCAAACTTTATACGGCAAGTTTATACAATTAAGAGCTTGCCTACACCAGAAGGCAGCAACCCCACTGAAGCTGGCACACCATACAGCTGCAGCCAAGGCAGCACACTTCTCTGCAGGCTGGTAGCTTGACAGTGCAGCTTACACTGCAATTTCTGTTCACCAGATCTGTTGCTTCAAGCAGGCTTCACACCAGCAAACACATTCACATAGCAGTGGGGGTGCTGTGGAGAGATAACCACTGCTAGCTTAGTTTTGCTCACTTGCAACTGTTTACAGACCTACAGCCTCCACCGGCAAGACAAGTTCTTCAGCAACAGACAAAACCTCCCACCTTAACAGGGACATCATTACTTAAATGGTAGTAAAGCATTTATGCAAATCCAACTCTTCTATCTTTGTTGTGGCAGCAAGGTATTCCTCTTGCTTGTCACTCATTTAACTCAAAAAAGGCTCTGCTTTTTTTGCCCAGCTACTAAGACCGATACATGGCAATATTCCAGAACAAAGTCTGTCTAACCATTGATTTCCTGGACCACAGCCCAACAGCCATGTGACACTTCTAAGTTCAACACTAATGATGGTTACTGCAAGATTTCACCAGACTATTTAAAGCACAAAAAAGCAAAATGCTTTCATGCTGTTTACTGCACAGTCAAGCCAAAGCTTTAAATCTAGCAAGCTATTTTCTAAAAGTGATGTTTAATAAAGTACTTTTGCACAGAGAAATCTCATGCCATGTGTTCCGAATGTGTCATGCAGTAACTCTTCACAACTACATCTCCTCTCAATCACTTGTATAAAACATCTTACCAGACTCAAAAAACATACCCGAAGAACTAAATCCACAAGTGGTTTGCAAACACATCATCCCCCACCCACCAAGCAAAAAAGCCATTACAAGTATTACTCTTTCCATCTTAAAATTAGTTACAAAAATGATCTCCCTACATCATTTTCACTAGTTCTATATTCCAAAACCCATGGAGTATCATGGTTAAAATGTTTCTTCATTTTTGTGAACATCACTTTCTACACTATTAATACACTTTTTTCATCTTCTGCAGCCCTAAGCCACAGGAGCATTCATGCAGAAAGGTATCCAGCTAAATAGCCAATATGCTGTATCACTGGCCACATCTACCTTTTTCTATGCCAAGTAAGAGGTACCTTTCTCATGATTAAACACTGCTACTGCCAATAGGCCTCAATCACCTGATGGGCATAATAACATTCTCTGGCACCCTTTATCCATCTAATACTGTCAATCCTAGATCGGAGACCATGCCCAAGGAATGTTTTAGAACATACAGAACATTGATGTGAAGTACTTTGGGTACCTGAAGTGCCACCCACAATCCTGAAACTCTATCAGTCTTTGATCCCAGAAATCACAAGGTGAACTCATTCTCCTCAACCTTACTGGACATAGCAGTACCTCCTTAAAAGCTTCCATATTTCATGTTAGTGTCAGCCCAAAGGATAAAACGATGGTACCTTTACACTCCAAAATGCATGCCACACACTCTTCTGGCCCTGTAATGCAAGTCATATACAGATTCTTTTAGAGCATCTAACAAAGTACTTACCAAGTATCACTGCTGTATTGCTTATTTCTCTGGTCTTCGACATCTTTTTTCCTCCAGGAGGCTGACCTAGCTAGGACTGGCAACTTCCTGACTTAACCATCCAAGCAGCTTCACTAGATGCTGTCAGCAGCATCCAGACTTTTCATGAAACTACAGTGGGCAAAAGATGGAAACTGGTCCCTTCCCACTTCTGAAGTGCATAATCACTAATGAAGTTTGTTGTCCAGGAGTCACTTGAGCACAATGTGGAGTATCACATGTCCAGTATGTGCTGTACCAGTCGGTGCAACAAGGCCACGTTGCCTCTTGCCAAGTACAAGCTGTCAAAGAACACCGTGGTGCAACTACAGACCTCATGTGCAACAGCTAGGTTTTTCACATCCTCATCTTTATTCAAGAAAGAACACGTACAAAACATGGCACATGGAAATACTTACCCTTCTCAGTAACATTTAACAGAAATAATAAATCATTGAAAGCAATGAAAGGAAAGCTGTTCCGTAGTAAACTTCTGCAGATTTTGATACATCCGCTAGACTGATTTACACAGCTGCTTGCTCAAAAGGAGCAGCCTTTAGCCAAAGTAGCTGGTTACTGCTTATTAACAATAACCAAAGCATAGGAGATGCTCAGTGAGCCAATACGCTCCTGGATTTCAGTCAGCTTAAGTGTACATTTTAGTACTCAGACATACTTATTTTTGACATTCCCAATGCTTTAGGTGCTGCTACTACTAGTGTTTTGCACTTCATGATACTGCTTGGACAGAAAATTGGGCTTTTCATGGAATTTGTCATTTAGAGATATGCACATTTCATGAACTATAGGAATTCCTCCAACTCTCCAAAGGAAGAGAGCTGCTGGCATCCAATGCTGTCATTTTTGGCTGAAGACTATAGGGTATTTTTTCTGTATTTTGGGATGATTCTGCAACTGTAGCTCTATCAATTTTTAGGTATCATGCCATTCTGTTTCTTCCTTCATAAACCATTCCTGACAATTAGGTTTGAGAGTCATGCTTTAAAGCAGACCGCAGCTTATGTACATAATGATTTGTCTTTAAAAGCCAACTTAATCTGTGACCAATTTGTGATCCTTCATTACTCTGTGGAAGAGTGTCAATTTGCTGAATACAGCAAATATGCTGTTACTACGATACAGGACCATTAGTTTTCAAGTGAATCCTCAAAGCGAAAGTTCCAACGTGTGTACTCCCGTCTCCCACTATTGACCTCTTTCCCCTCACAGCAAGCAGGTAACATTGCCAGCGTACACCTCAAAGGGCAGTTCCACTGTTCTGGCACTGGTCTTTTCATGCTGAAGTGGCAGTCCATAAAAGCCCAGTTCCTCTCTCCCCTCACTAGATACAGACAGCAATGCAAGCTTTAGACCTTGCCTTTTCTGTAACCATGACTTTCCTCATGACACTTGAATTTTTCTTACAAGTGTTTCACATTTATGCTTCTGTACCACCACAACCTCATCTACTTCCTCCCATCTCCTGAATGACACCACCCTCAAAAAGCTGACTCATTGGTTTGAATGTGTACCCATTTTGCTTTCTCCCCATCTTTACAGGGCCTACCTGTGAGTTCTGTTATTTTGAGTTATTACAGATGTTCAGCATCAGCAAGTCTATATACTCTTATGATATTTTAAAAGGGCAAATACTCTCAGGGATTTTTCCATGTATTGAAGCTCAACACTCATTTCTCTAATATTGCTGCTACCCTTCCTACAGAGGGCAGCTCAGTGTTTTGGGAAAAGGTCTATTTTAAATATACAGAGACAGTGATTTTGGTTCACATGCAGTTTCTGAAAACAGTATCCGCTTAACAAAACTGCAGCAGCTGCCTCAGCAGGCTTTTAAAGCATGGCATCCCACTCCAAACCACAAAAACTCTTCAGGTGTTACACTTCCTTCCAGTTACAGATCATCCACATTTGTCTGGCAGCACTGACAAAGCGTTCCAACTCATCACTGGAAAAAGAGAACAAGGTCTAAGTAAAATGGTTCATTTGAGGGAAAAGTTTCAATTTGCAAGTAAGCACACAACACTTTATACATTAAGGTGTTACTGTTTCTGTAATAAAACCTACAACCCCATTGACATTGTAACACTTTTCAGAAAGTTTAAATCAAATCTTTTTGTCTCATCTCAGATTCCGGATCCGTATTAGGTTTTTCAACAAAGAATTCAGGTTCGGGATAGGATCATCACAGATGAGACAAAAGCAATACAGAAAACAAATTTAATAGGCAATGTATGGTTTTCCTATAGGGTTTCTGATTGCAATAAAAAAAATTAAACATTCTCTAGTCCTTTGACATATTTCAATAAAAATGTACAATTATTTAAAACTGCATGTAGGTTTGAAAGCTAACCAAGGTTAGGCACAGCTATCAGCACACATTGGGCCTTGGGGAACAAGTGTTCTTAAATTCCAACTATGTACAGAATTAGTTACTACACTGTCCTGGTTTCAACTGGGATAGAGTTAATTTTCTTCCTAGTAGCTGGTACAGTGTGTTTTGGTTTTAGTGTGAGAATAATGTTGATAACCCACTGATGTTTTAGGCTGTTGTTAAGTGGCACTTATCCCAAGTCTAGGACTTTTCAGTTTCCCATGGCCTGCCAGTGAGGAGGTGCACAAGAAGCTGGGAGGGAGCACAGCCAGGACAGCTGACTCAAACTAGCTAAAGGGATATGAACTGTAAGCACAGAGCTCCTTTAGACTTAAGGTGAGAATATGTTTAGCTTTTCCAGTTGCATACCTGAATAAGCTAAAAGTATTTGTTCCTACATTTTTGACCATTTTCCTGTGTAAAAAAAGACATTAGTTCAGAAAAATTTTCTTCCAGCACTCAAAATACAACTTGCCATCTATTTAGTCTCTCATACAGACCAAACCGCATTATCAAACATGTGTTGGATTAGTACCAGTACTCTACAATTTCTGTGAAACTTAACTTAGAAGTGTAGTCATGCCACAGTAAAATTTGTTTCGCTTCTCTTGCCCAGCTATAGCTCAACTTGGCTATGAACTATGACAGGCAACTAACCAATCAAGTATAATTCCCCCTCCTACGAGAATTTGTCAAAAAGATCATATTTGAAAATTAGCTAACAACTGGTTCTCACCTTCTATCAAAACATTAAAAACTCCAGAAGCTAAAAATCCACCAACAAGCAAGCATTAAATAAGAAACTACATCCGGACCACATTTTTCTACATACAACTCTCCTGCAAGCAACACGAAAATTGAGACTACCTCTAAACTAGAACTGCAAATTCAAAAAAAGGCCAAGATAGATCACTGAACATTTCACCCTGTTTTCCATTATGCAGATACACACAAACCCCACTCCACTTCAGATATGCCATTTGTAATACAGCAATTTACATGTCACCTCCTGCTTATAAATGGGGTTGACAACAATGCAATTTTTTAAAGCAGGCATTTAAAAATTATCATTAGTTATTTAAACCAGTTTTGCTGAGTTTCAAGGTATGTACAGGCCATGAAGCCCACCATCTTCAAACATATCACCTGTTCTGGTGTTAGAGTAGTCTAAAGTCAGATTCACATGTGTTTTTCATCAAGCAATCGGTCAGGTTTGGGATAGGTGCTTCATTCATCAGACATACCAATGGTTTTAAGCATCACTCCCACATCAAGCGTTTAAATTAATCATAACATTTATTGGAATTCATACCTTCAACTGAGAAGCAGCACCCAAGCATCTCTGCAGAGACATAAAATGCACTGGTTAGTTACACTAGCAAGGCTTGTTACTTCCAACCTTTCTTTACATCAGCCATGTAAGTCACTCCACTTCCTACTTGTAATATTGCCTGTCTAAACAATACAGCATTTTATAGGTAGCACTGCTGCACAAGAAGTTTCACTCACACTTTTGAACTTCACGTAGTGGGACAAAGCCTGTTGTTCAAAAGAAACTCCTGGTAGTTAGCAAGTTATTTAAAGGTACCTTTCATTAATAAGGAATGGAATAAAAATACAGATGTTGTAGTACAACAGGAAAGTCAGAACTTGTCCTCACATTTTAGATTTTAACTTCCTAACTAAAAACAACCTGCAGATACTCAAGAACCAGTGCAATTAAAGTGAATTTCATTGGAAAAGATTAGATTCAGGTACCTGGGTAAGAATGAAGTTCTTGGGAGAAACCACTACCAATACTCTCAATGCACGTTAAGTGTTCACAAGCATGCTTTTTGCCTGCTGCAAGTATAATGTTATACTAGCCCTTCTGAATTAGTTTAGCTGTGGAGCTGAAACAGCTTTAATCTAATTAGAATTCATTGCAGTTCACCATCAAATTCCACCTTTAATCATTAACATTACTTTTCCTAAATGCTCACATCCGAGTGAGCCCCAAGTTAACTATCCTAAGAGGGTCAAAGTGCAAATGCCATCACTAGCTTTCAAACACCAGCAACACTTCCTTAGCAGGGCACTTAATACCTGGCTAATGTTTGTTATTTACCCACTGTAAGGCAGGATACCTCAAATATAGGCATCTAACACTTCCCTCTCTCTCTGCTCTTTAAAGATGCTAGCTTTTGCAACAGCACATACCCATGTCAACATGGGGCTGAGGAGAGTTTAAATAATGCACCAACATTCTTATTCACAACCTGGAACATGGTGGCATCTAGCCTGTACCCAGGGACAGCAATGAAATTAACACCAACTGGGATAATGACTGAAAGACTAAGTGACTTCTGGAAAGAATTAAGTGGTTTCATCTCAGTAGCCAGATCCGTATGAAGTTTCTCATCAACATATCAGGTTTGGCAGTTTCATCATGATTCACCACTTATGTATCAGTGACTGGGAACTGTAGCACAATTCATACACTCATATATTCCACAAAATAAGCTTTATTGTCTTGCATATGCAGATGTACTGAAAAGGGAATACATTACAATTAACAAAAATTTTCAGCTGCTTAATCAATAAATATTACCTCTATCTGTTATACTACAGCTGCCAGGAAATCTTTCACCAGGACACCTGACATTCCCATTGTTAGAAACTGTTCATGCCATTCTAGAAATCTGAGTAAAATAATCAATTACAACATGTTAATGTGTAATACAGCACAACCCATTCAGAACAACCAAGTTTTACTCTCATGGATCCCCCCTTCCTCCCACCCACTGATTGTAAGCATTTGAGTAAAATTAAACTGACTACAGATCCTGAAGTTATTTCTTAGCATTTCCAAAAGGTGATAATATCAACTATACTCTTTAAAAAATTGGAACCCCATGTGCCTGTTTATATTAACAAGTCTCTAGATGTCCCCTTTGTTTTCTTCACCTAAACACCTTCTTATACCAATCTCCCAACAAAGTGCAAATTCACAATTAAAAGCCACCTAGAGGTAATTTTTGTCAGATTGAGGGTGAACACTTCAGATAGGCATATTTTACCAGCTCCTCCAACAGTAACCCAAATAAACTATTCACCAACTTCCCAGCCTACACAGTTCTAGACCATGTCAAACATGCCTGAAATACGATACTTCAATTTAAAAACTAATATCACACTAATTTGACCACACATATATTTTGCTAATCCATTTATTTATATTAAATTATCTCCACTGATCATTCAAAACATACACACCTTTCAGGAAAATCCACTTGTGTGTACCAAGTATTCTTCTACTTCTGATGGTGCTTCCATGAAGGGCTAAAATTGAAATTAAAGAAAAATAATCTTTAAAAGTAGAAAATGTCTCTTGCTGTGGTCTAGCATCATCTCTCATGTTACTATGTCAGAAACATAAAAATTCACTTTGTCATACAACATTTCAATATTGGTCTAGAACAGTCTTCAATACTTTACAAGTTGAAATTTTGTATGCACTAGAAAAAGTTACCCTGAATTGGTTTTAGACCATTTTGCAACTGTTACAATGTCTGAAGAACCAGAACATTCAAGCTTCTGTTTCAAAAATATTTATGAGTGGCCATGGATTTATTCACAATGCAATACTATCTGTCCACAGCTTGCACGACCATTACCTCAATGGTTACATTCAAAGATGGTCATGTATGTAGATTCACATTAACTCCAACACACATCTGAGGCCAGACAGCTAACTCGCACCATCTCTGAAATCGGTTTAATTTAGCACAAGTTAACCAAGTGATTTATCACATGGGTCTTCATGCTTATTTAAATGCCACAGCAAAAGAAATGAAACTAAGAATAACTGACCTTAACTCAGTGAAGAGCACACACAAAAAAATCATCAAATAATTACTCATCAGTTTGATGGCAACTATGAAAATGCAATATACTGCAGCTTGTTCTTATTTTTTATCCCACTCAGTAGCCATACAAAGATGACAAGTCTCTGGCACTTACCACATTCCATACTTTTGACAGACAAAAACAGGGAAACCAGAAATGGAAGCATTTATTATCTTGATCAACAACAGATGTAGTGCCACTTCTAGAGCAACAAAATTAAAAATTCCAGCCATTACCTTAATGCTTCTGTACAATGTATTGGACACCACTGAAAACCTCCTCTCCATCATACCTAAAAACAAACAGTAAACAAGCTTAATATTTGAAATCAGCAGATTCTTATTACTGGGCCACTAAGTCACACACATTATGAGACAATAATCATAAACAATCTCTCGAGTCTCAGAAGCAATAATATGTTACATACCTAAGTCTTAAGTTTGCAGGAGGCCTTTTAGAAAGCAGCAAGACATGCAGCCATTTTTAAGTAACAAAGGAGTTACGAGTTACATCCACTTGAAATCCCATATTAAAAACAAATTTCTACAAATAACTGCATGTACTATTCAACTTCAGTCCAAAGGATTTTTAATGAAAATTCGTCATCTCAAGGTTTCAGTCCTTTTAAGTATAAGCACTGATTTCAATTGGTTTAGAGTTTGGTTTTCACCACATAGCAAGTATTTAAATCTATCAACTCAACCAGGCAAAGAAACACATGACAAAGTATGTTTTGTCATATACAATACTTAAATAGATCAAATAAATGTAGCAATCCATTAAAGATAACTTAACTTATAAATGTTTTGTTTCAGATCACAACAACATTTTAAGCTACGGAAAATCTTGAGTTAAGCTTGCTTATTACACCCAATAACCAGAGGTTACTAATGGCTTCTAAAGATTCAAAAATTTTACTGTTCAGTAATCTTAACATGTGACTCAGGCTATCATTAGACAAGCTAATACAACACGGAATGAATGCACCCGACAACCTCCTACGTGAATGAAAACACCTCCTAATCTTTACTTCCAGATAAGAGCCTAGAATCCTAGCTATATTTTTTTTTACTGTATTGCCCATTCTCCTAGAAGTACTACGGCTCAATGACACTAGCATCGCAAAAGGGGAAAAAAGGCATCTTAAGTCCACATGAAGCTGGGTTTTTGTGTGTTATGTCATTTTTTAAAATAAATCTCTCTTTATTCTGCTGTCTCATTGCCTAGCAAAAAAAGAAAAGGCAACTTTAATAGTTTAAACTTTAAAGTAATTTCATGACTCATATTAAAAAAAACAAGCAAAGACTGCGGTGTTTTTTTCTTGGCACGATATGCTGATTTTACGGCAACTGTATTTTTAAAAGTCTTCTGAGGCCGGACAATTCCATGATGCCGATGGCCGAGCCCTCGGAAACACACGCAGGCAACACGAATGTGTGCACCAGCCCTGTGTTAAATGAACAAGGCAACTCCACCTTATTCGAGGCGCCCTAATCTCTCACCGAATCCCCTCGTTCTCATCGCGATGTTTAGTCGTGATGGACTTCATTCACCAGCACGGGCCAGCGTTCCAAGCACTAATTCAAACGAGGACCGAGCGAAGCGGAAGGCTGCATCGCCCCGGCAAGGCCCTGCTCCCAGCCTCAGCAATTAAGAGCTGGCGTCACTGGCGGCCAGCATTCCTTTCACCAGCCCCCGAAGGTACCCGACACGGCCCGTGTCCCCGCCGCCTCCCTCCGGCCGGGCCGGCTACCCATCAAAATGGCGCAGGCCAGGCAGCGCCTCGCCGGGCGCCGCCCGCGCCAGGGCAAAATGGTACGCCGCCGCACGGGCCAGCCGC